GCTGCAGCAGCTGCAGGACGGGGACTGTAAACCTAAGAAGGAGGACACCACCATCGTCACCGAGGTGCAAACCTCCTCCATGCTAGGCAACGGGGGGACGGTCATGCAAAATATTCCCTCCGAAGAGGAAAAAAAAGAATCCGACCTACAAATCAGTGCGAATGCAGCGAATATACTGAAGAATGTCGGTCTTAAGAATATAACAATAGCACCGATTCCACCTAAAACGGCAACGGTGACATCACAAACTCTTTCCCCGGTGGTAAGCTCACCGTCGCTACTGATGACGTCTACTCCTATAAAGATACCCCAACTGGGACCCGCGGTGTCCATAACTAGTGAGACGGTGCTTACTCCGACATTGCCAATCATGACTACGAATATGGTTCTCCCGAAGATTCCAAAGTCGCTGACGGTGATCCCGCAGACGGTGACGCAGCCCCTCGCGATTCCTGTTGCGACGTTGGCGCCTTCAGTCGCGGTCTCCACCGACCAGAGACCATAACGAAGCGTCCTCTTCGTGGTCGTGTAGCAACCGGCCGCGAATTTCTCGTACACCATGTAACGTTTCACATGCTGACGTACTAAAGTGGAATGTTAAGTGTTTGTGATTCAGTGCGGTGTGAAGTGATGTGAAACATATCAGGTGCTACGGTGTTAGTTGTGGGATTTGACTACATAGAGCCTATTTTCGTATCGCTTAGTGAGAATTGCCCGGCAGTGAAAGGACACAAGGCAAACGCAATATAATAAGTGAGACACCGGTCGAGCCTTATAATGTTAGAATTGTGTAAATATTAGTATAGGAATGTTGTAATGCGCTGTGAGCACCGGTGAAGAGGATTCTTTTAAAATATATATTAATCTGATATTTTTAGGTTTTTATTTCACATTTGCGCAAATGATTCGATGGCCGATGAAATGATTCAAACATTTATAAATATTGCATGTACATTTCATCACAATTTAGATTTTACACTAAATATATATTGGTAGTTTTCTATTCCATAAATAGAATATATTTTTATATAAATTCCTACACACAATACCTATGTATACATAAGTATACACAAATTATAAAAGGTTTTATATTTTTAATCCCGATATAAAGACAATAGCTATGCTTTTCACTGACTTCCATACAGAAATGGACAAAAATCTTTTAAATTTGATAAAAATGTCATTCAAAATTCTCTAGTCAGGTTGGAATATTGCATTTATAATTTATTATACGCGAGCCAATGCATTCGTATCATTTGCGTGAACTTAGACAATTTCATGTATATACGTTCAGATAATGCGAACATATTTAATTTTTTTTTTTGTTATTTTTAAGACCTAACATTGTCTCGTGAGAAATGTTTTACTAGCTTGGAATGTGATAGTTTTTTGCGGAATTTGTAAGAAACCAAACGTTTTTTTTAACAGAACACACAAAAAAAAATGGTGAAAATTAATATTATATAGACAGGATACTAAATTATATCATGAAATATATTTTTCCATGTTTCATAGAAACTAACATAAAATATAAAATTAACAAAAATATGGCCCCTTCAATGTTGCCAACTCAATAATCTTCATTTTGTATCTGTGTTTAATTTAATTTAAAAAATCGTCTGGCAGATAAAAAAAATTCCATTATCTATAATTGTATTAGGCATTGCTTTGTTATGAATTTGCCAGAAAAAAAAACAAAATTGCAGTTTAAATTTTCAATTCGATGTTGTGAAATTATATATTAACTAGTAAGGACATCAGAGATATTATATAAAAGATTTTAGTGCGGAACAAATATCAAAAACCTTATGAATAATGTAACTTTGTTATGTAAATAAACATAAAATAATCATCTATTTTGTATCACATTTTTTTAAAGTTTACAGTGAACAAAATCACCAATATTTTTAACCGTTTAAATAAACAAGATTAACGTTTAAATGAAGTTTAACTTCTTTTTTGCAGTCAGCATCAGATGTAATGCCTGGTTGACATTTTGCCAGTACAGGAAGTGCTGGCCTGACATGATTTAGATCACTGGCGCCAGCTGTCTTACTGTACTGGCATATTGTAAACCAGGTATAAGTCTTCCCAGGTAGTAAATTATAGAATCACTCGCCTCAGATTACCATTCTTTTTTCAAAGACCAAATTTAAAATTTTATTGATTTTTTTTAAACTTATAAACAGTATATAATCTCTTCTCATCATTGTAACAGCACCAGATCCTCCACAGGGGTGACCTGGATTACTCTAGAAGTTTCCACTTTTGAAAAACTGTTCAAAAGAGGTTGTCATTCTCTTTTTATTTTTTTTAACAAGAGACAGGTTATGTTCTGTAGAAGAGTTTTGGCATCAAATCCCATGGTTCACTTTTAAACAAATTATGGTAGGATTTTTAACTTTAATAAAAGTTAATCTGAATAAATTGAAAGCAAGACCATGATAAATAAAAACATCCTCACAATAATTGTGGGCCTGTTGTATGGGTATTACAAAATAAACTAAACTCCTGTATAAAGTGTCATTGATTATATAATTTGGATTACATATTAATTTTACAGAATTTAACTCAAAATTAAGTACATTTCTTACCAAATTAACCCATCCAGATACCTACATAACCTCTTAGATATCTCTTTTTAGTTGCATATCTTTTAAATTTTAGGTTACAACTGATCCTGACTATAAATGCACTTATCGTTGATTTCTGACATCAAAATCTCTGTTCAAAACATTGTCATCCCGATCATAAACATTGACAAAACAGATATGTTTCATACAGGGATTTTGGTCAGAAACCAAAGTTTATTAGATGAACTTGTCTATAATATCTCTGTGTGAAAATGCATTAAACAATTTGCATGAACGAGTGATTTTATGAGTGCCTGTAAAGCATTTGTATAAGATCCATGTCATTGTACATACCAGAGGTCCCCCACAACTTTTATATGAATGCTCACGTTTGCGTGTTGTTAGTTGAAACATTTACATATATATCTAATGTTGAGAATTACTAGTATTTTATTTGGTCCAATAATTATAATAAGGTCCAATGTTATTGTTAGAAAGTGTACAGAATACACGTTAAGGCGTTGCTTTCCCTCTATTCTTATGTACTTGTCAAACTGTAATATATAAATGTACTTTATGACAACGAAACTTCTTTAAATTGGTGTCGCAATTTCTTTGCATTTTGGAATACTTATGAAAATTATATTCACACCGTCTAAAACATTTTAGTTACGTATAAAATTGTGTATGCTGTTATCTCTAATAATTTTACTGCTTTTTTATTTATCTTTTATTAAAATAAGGTGATATTTAAATTAATTTGATGGGAATAAAATGAAGCAATAAATTAATCCTAAGCTGAGAAAACATATTTTTATAATAACCTCTTTGGATTGGTCGAAAATAAAAAACATTACATCTGTCAATGTCACTGTCAAACTACTATATTTTTATTGCATGTTAAAAATAATGGCTGAAATGTTATAGAATTAACTATCGATCCTTTGGCCATAAGATATGTTGTAAATAAATGTTCTATGCTTATTCATATTTAGGAACTAAATCAAACAATGTGATTGATATCAGTGTTGAAATTATAACTACAATATGGGACACCTAATTCTTTGAAACAACTGTAGTTATTTCATTGACTCATATGTACAGGATTTTGCTTTTTTATTTACCCATTTTTAAACAGTTTCTGCTCGCTGCCACGCAACTTTGATACTTAGGCTTTTAGCTTAAGGCATAGATTATGTATTAAAACTCCGAGGACTGTAAGGTATCATCATGCAAGGGCTCATTTAACAATAATCTATATGTAACCGCTGTTAAACCTATAAAACTAGTATATAATCACTGAAATGCGCTATTTTTGTAAAGTCATTTATATTTGTTGTAATCACGATGTGTTAAGTTTTGTATCGGACATTATGGTGTAGGCAAAATGTAAATTGTAACTCTTCTAATATACTCGATATTTCGGAAAACAACGCCTTGACGATTGAAAAAAAAATTGTTATAAATGTAATTAACGTATTTGGAAGTATCATCAGAGAGTTGTTTGAATTTGTTTCCGCCAGATGCCGCCCCGCGGACCCATAACCCGGATGTTTAGTTTCTTCCAAAGATAGAGTGTTAGTTTACAATATTATCTTTTAGTTTTATGTACGACACGACAATGTGTTCGAGGTATAAATTTGTCTAATAAACATATCCTTATCTCTTGAAATTGTATTTTTATTTTGTTATATTCAGAGGTTATCAAATTTCTTTGCTGCTCGGAACATCGTATGAATTGCTGCGAACACATTTTTTGGTGTAGGCGTAAATGAATACGAGGGGACTCCACAGCGCTCAGCCCAAAGTCAACCGCCAAGATATTTGAAAAGTCGAACAAAATAACAAAAGCTAAACAAGAAAACCAATATACTTTCTTGTGTGACCCTATGAGCATCGAAAGCTATGTTGGGGTTCCAAAACCAAATGTAACCTAAATAATTAAGAGGTTACGTCTCCAGACTTTCTGATAGATGTAAGGAAAAATGGGAGTGGATATCGAAAGGGTTCTTAATATTAATGACGCGAAATATTCTTTATTTACTATATTTTAAAATATTATACTTAAATTTTACAGATATATAAAGATATCTAGAATATAAACTTAAAAGGATATATTTATTTTTCTAATTCCTTTTTACAATATGCACCAAAAATTATAAAGTAAGTTACATCGTCACATATATTATATCAAAACGGTTTTTAAATTACCTTTTCTTTTACATAAAAATTAGACGAAAAATATCTTTGGAAATTAAAAATTCTATAATCAACGACATCTACACAATCTCACGAATAAAATACAATTTGATTTTTCAAATATACTTACTGTAAAATATCTTCGATTTATATTTAAAAGGTAAATATAATTAATGTCTTAAATTTAATAATTATTCTAAAAGTAGATAAATATATATGTGATGTAATTTAATCTTTCTTTTTAGCGTATTTTGTAACACCCTTTGTTCTTTTCCATTTCATACGTCTGTTTTGGAACCACACCTTTACCTGGAAAAAGAAATACTTTAAAGAAGACTGCTCTTGAAGTTTCAGTTTCGATATTCATATAATAATCTAGTCCTTTATAACACAACCTAGAAATCTCATATCTTCGCTATTATTTACACACAGACACACACACACACTATAATTGTTAATTCATAAATTAGTTGTTTTTCCACGCAATGATAAAATTTACATGTATGGGAAGTCCTTTGCTCCTTAAGTACAGGTCTTCCTGGTTAAGGAGCCAAGGCAAGTAGGTAGTGGACTTAGTGGACGTTAATGGACAACTGAAAAGGGTGTAACAAATGTACCTGTCTCTCAGTGAGATGCAATGCAACAGCAATTTCGTAGCGTCGTAAGCGCGTCAGATAGTTTGCGCGGGAAAACTCCGCCTCTAGACTGCGGATTTGCGCTTTTGTGAACGCTGTCCGCTCTTTGCGACCTGATGACCGCACGTCTGCCGAATTGATGGAAAATGTAGTAATCCAAATTTAAATGACTTTTCTTCTAAAACTTTTAAATACACTAGCGTACAAAATTGTTAACTTTTTCTGGTTTAAAAAACTGTCGTAAAGAAACTTACTTTTAAAGTTTAGGAATTGGACAAGATAAATTTAAATATCAACATTTTAAAAACAAACGAAGGTAAAAACGAATCTCCAGTTTGTATCTATTATTCTCTTATTTTCTAGGTCTTTATTTATGCAAATAAAAAGAACTATTTTTTATCTACATAACCGAAGACGTATAATGTTTGACAGATGGCAGGCGCCGGCGCTGCTGCATTTGTTTGTCGTTTGTTTAACGATTTTCCTCCCACAGGTGGGTTTTACGAGCATTTTATTGCGCGTAGTCGCTTTGCAGTCGTAAAGGAAACCCGTGTTGATGTTTCTGATATCATTGTTTATTGCAAATTTATTGATGAATTAACGTTGGAAGAAATATGTATAAGGCATTGATGACATAAAAGAAAGTAATGTATGGTTTCGGAGACCAAAATCTCTATAAAATATTACGTCATAATAATATGTTTCAAACGGGGATTTTAGACACAGAAATTCACGATAAGTATACAGATATACTTAGGGTAGGCTCCGAGCCCCTCGGTGGGGACGTATAGTGATCTGACGATGATACAGATATAAATTTTAGATTTTAGAGATGAAAAATGCTTGCTAAGTTTCGAAAGAATTATGAAACCATTCCCTATATGCTCAAAGTGGACTCTCTGGGTTCACGGGGAAACCCGATACGAATATATTATAGCGGGAAATTAAAATAAGTTCATAACTATAAGTAAACATTTAGCATCACAGCGTTCCCTGAAAAGTTAAAGAAATTGCCAAATTATAATTACTAAACATACCTTCCTCACTAAGACTGGACGTACCCCTGGTATCCTCTTGCTTTACGCAAACTTGACTCTCCCATTGCCTCCAGTCCCACTCTTCTGACATCTGTACATCCAGACCCTCGATTCCTTCACTTCTATACTCGTAGAACATTGGCACATAGCTGGGAAGAACTTCCGGAGTACCAGTAGACTCTTGGTAAAATCCTTGCCCGAAGAAACCTTCCTCATGTTTTTCTATTTCGTTATCTTGTATGTAGAAATTAGCTTTCATGAAATCCATTGTTAAACCTAATATAACTTATATTTTAATCACCATGTACTTTTAAAATGTTTTTCTACTTTTGCATAATTGTAAAATAAAATTTGCTTTAAAACTTTTGAAGTATAAGCTACATAGAGTCCAAATGCATATAATTTATATGATGAAGATATTAAGCAAAGCTCTTGTGATACAGTTGAATGAAGACTGAACAATCTTGTGAGATGTGATGCGCGGGCGCATGTCACGAGGCGGGGCTTAACTTTTGGGCGGGGACTAAAGTCATTAGGGGTCTTGATTAATTTGCCGACACTCTAAAATGATATTACGACAATATGAGCTTTGAATTTAACTATAGAAATTAGTAATCTTTAATATTCAAAAAGTAGCCAAAGAAATGATTTTTTTTAAATAGCCGTTTTCAATAAGTTACGCCCTTAATCAATTAGTTACTTAATTAAGTAAAAACTGTTAATTTAGCTTAGTAGTTTGCAGCACTTTTATATCTTGTTAGCATTTCAAATAAGTTCTGAAGCTTGTGCTAGCTTCACAACAGTAAATTTATTACAGGTAGGATTCGAACCCACAACTGCTAAGTAGGTAGTCTATTAGTCTATTGGAGTTTTAAATGTCATATTTTACATCTAGTTAAATATTAATTGAATGATTTAAGTGAGAAAGTGTTAATGTCTTGTTTATTGAAGGGATGTTTGGCGAAATCCTCCGGGAGAGGTCGCCCCGTTCTCACGGACACCCTTGTGACATGCCGACAGACATGATTACTGTCCGGAAAGATTCTAGTCGACCCTTAAATAAATATTAAGTGAGATTTAAACTATTTCTAATGACAGAATATTCCCATCATGTTTCTTCAATGATGATTATCGAATTATTGTGGATTTCCACAGTCAAAATACTTGTCTTTCGTTTCATTCTCTTTTAATAAACCGATCCGAGGCACCAAACATGTTTTAATAAGTTGAATCATTATTAATCAATTTACTATTTATACGTATAATCAATCCAATTAGATGGCTTTATGGATGGATGGATTTATGGCACCAAAATGTTCGGCAGTGTCGGTCGGGGCCGAGGCTTTTACCGTCCAAATAGATGAAATAATTAAGAAATATATATTATATAAGTGTTAAGAACACCCGAAACCGTTTACTCGTATGTATATATATGTATTCATATGTATATGTATAGATGTATGTAGGTAGAAGCTAGAGAGCTGTGTCAGGATCTTGTAAATGTGAAATAGAGTGCTGAGAGCAAGTGTAAATGTATCACATATTGTGTCGGCGGGATCAAAGAGTAGCGTCTATGAACCGTCTATCATTTTCGACACATCTATGGTACATATATAGAACAGTCTGGAAGAACATATAGGCTACTATTATACATATTAAGCTTTTCTTTTAATCCCGGAGACGCGGGAAACTGATATATAATTGTGATGCTTGTTCACTATATCTCTCGATTAACATAATATTAAATATGTATTATGATCTTTATTATATGTAGGTATATACCTTAACACGTGTATTTCTAAGACAATCCCGTTCAGGCGACGAGCACCGCTTATACGCAATGGTATTAAAGGGCCCGTGTTTCCGATCGCAGTACAAAATAGTTTACATTTTTAACGTTATACCTATAGGCTTTGTTTCAACACGTTACGCGCCAATTCTGTTTTATTTTTCTTACCGCTTAGCTCGCTCAGATAAAATTTCTTCGAAATGGATTCGTGGCGTTCTTTTTACGACGAATCAGTCCATTACAGTTCAAATGTCACTGAGCGTCAAACATCCTAAACAGAAAATCCAGTGTCAGCCACCGATGGCTGACGTGGCGCTCAACGTGTTAAAAAATATTTCTGTCACAATTTCTTTGACTCGTGTCTGAATGAGTCAATATTTTGGCAGCTGTGTAACGTTCCTTCGACGAGTTACGAACGACATCATATTTTTTAACTTTCTGCTTTTTTAACGCTCGCTCGTGTCGTCAGTAAGAAGGGCGTTGACGTCACGACCCTTGATAATATAAAAAGGACGGTCTTTGTAAATAATATTCAATAACATGAAACTAATTAAATATACATTTGGTTAATAGTACTTACCATTTATGTGCGCCTAGTACCTTCTTACTTAGTACTACTATTGTTATCTTTAGTAGACTTTATCCCCCATATCTTAACTTTTTATATGCACCGAAATCTTAACGTCTTACGTCAACTTTTTATAACTTTTAACACATAATTATATGTTATTAATGACCTAGAATTTCGTCATTGTATTTTGTTCATATAAGTAAGGTTGTCGCTTTTGATATAGTACTTATTTAAATAAACTGTGAGTTCAACCATCGTTCAAACGGTATCGATTTTTTTCAAGCTATAGTCAAGTTGTGTAGTAAAATTTTTTATTTGGATGTAAGGATAGATGAATATTTGTTGGAAGGTACATATCTCCAGAACGGCTTAACGAATCTCGCTGAAATTTGGCGTTAATGTAGAACATAGTCTGGACGAATACATAAACTACTTTTTTTAATTCCGCGCGGACGGAGTCGCGGGAGACAGCCACTTTATATTAAAGAAATTTTTCTATAGCAATTCAAGAATAACTTACCAAATTGTTAAGTAATTGTATAGTTGTTTTATGTGTTAAAAATAAAAAAAACGATGTTTTCTTGATAAGTTACGTTAGACAGTTACTCTGATTCAAGTTATTGTCGCTTAGTTTAGATTTCTCGTATTAAATCTATAACACATGACTCCCTTAGTGACTAATTGCGTATTTCGTCAATTATGCTTTTGGACAACCCTGCATCCAAAGTTCTGATGAGTTTAACAGACACGTTTAAAGTCAAACCCCGCTTTGTTTATAGTCCGCCAGTTCATTATATAACTGTCACATTATTTAGTCTGTATTTCGACATACATGTATATAATAAAGTTAGGATAAGATCTAGAAATAAGTGTAGAATATAGGACGGACAGGATAAGATCTAGACGAAGTATAAATCTTAAAGCCTAGCAACGCATCAACTCCTCTGAGGTTGTGTCATTTCAGTGCGATGTTCCTATGACCTTCCAGCTCCATCAGATCAGCACCGTGTCATCATAATATTGCAAGAATTGACGACAAACTGATGTTTGTCATCCTGTCCTGATGGACAACTGTAAAAACTTACCAACGAAATACATCACCAGTCAGTCAATCGGATTATAAATTAATTTTGTTAAAAGAATAAAAAACAAGTTGTTTTTAAAATACTTTATTTGAAATAATACAGGAAAATACAATTTGAGATTAATTAGGATACTAAATCAATTCCTTATTTTTTATTTTGCTACCAAAAATATAACGTAATTATTAAAACACAACTTTTATTTCAAAATACGTGATGAGACATTTTTCTTAGCTTTTTGAAGATATGAGAAATTGTCTATGGATGGCCTCGGTGTAATAGACAATGCGATTCAGAAAATATTTTATTATCTATTAATTATATAAGGGGAATAATAGCTTACAGCTTCGTCTTTTTTTTGAATTCTTTTTACTTTTTTGTACGACTAATAAAGCGAGATGCGGATTTATCTTTATAATGAAAAGTACATTCACTGGCAACATCGCAAAAATTTATCTTAAATCTAAAATACTAATATAAGGCTGTATCGGCAAAACTTATTAAAAGCTAAAGCATATATTCTATTTCTTTTTCTACAGATAAAAAAGTATCTTCTTAAATTATTTCTTTTTAAGCATTTTACTCCAATGATTTTGTAACATTATTTTAAATGTTGGTATTATGCATTTCTTGATTCCTTACATTAAAATAAGCGGAATTAAAAATCTAATCAGTTAAGTCTTGTTTAACCTGAAAGTTAAACATATTTATTTAATAACTATTGAAATCATATACTCATTTAGAATTTACCGTTTCTTGACATTTTACAGTAACAACCCTTTATAATTTTAAAGTCATTAACCCAGTTCAGTCATATACCCTTAACCTAAAAGCAAAAAGCTCGCAGGAGAGAGTTTTACATTATTTGAATTTAGGGCCGCCATACCCGAATCGATTGCCTAAAGCGGTTAGCGCAATGCACACTGTGGTCTTTGTACGATTAACTACGCTCAACGTAGACCGCTTGTACCAGTCAGTATATGGCGGCCCTTAACACATCAATAAATGTTATACGAACAACAGTGAGACTAATTTATCTGAGTAATTTCGTGTTATTTAGCAAAACTTGTTACCGCATCGCCGGCCGCTGAGTTGACCCCGCCTTACTGAGCTCGCACAGGGATCTTGCGCGCTTCATGCTAAGTACATGGGAAATTTTTCTATATACCAAAATCGTCTACATAATGCTAAACTTGTCAAAATTGAAATGACAGAAAAATATAGACTATGGTTTTGTTTTTTTTTTTTTACAAAATATTTTCGGCCTTACTGTTTGTTCTGTAGATTTTTTATTTTTATTTTGATGAAATGTATTGTTATAAAATAATTTAAGAACTTTCATATTTATCGCTTAATATCAGCGTCCTTAAGAAAAAATCAAACAGTACAGTCAGCTGGTATTTAGGTGGTTTTTAACATCTTGAAACATCATATAAGGTTCATCTTTACAATCACACAGATCTATTAATCATTAAAGGGTCACATTCATCTGATCTTAATATAGTAAGAATATTTCCTAGCAAATATTTTAAACACAAAATGCGATGCAGCACATTTAGACACAAAACTGCTTTGCACATAAAGTTCAGCTTAGCAACAAAAATAAGCGAAGACATTCTTCAGGCAAATAACATTTATGCTTATGCGCAACTAAGGCTCAATACTAAAAAAGACACAATTATGTCTGTTGAATGTATGCAGTCAACAATAAATACCAAAAAACCTATCGTTTATTTTAATTTAAATTTCATAGTTATTGTGAATTCCCTTCAAAAAAGTTATAACACTATTTGTTCGTCGTTGACGGAATTTTATTAATAAAATAAAATTAAACAACATAAAAACTTAAGAAAAAAACATGCATCCGTCATGTGTTATCTGTGTCTCGTGTATAATCTGTTACCTGTCCGGATTGGTGACGTCAACATCGGGCAGGTGTTCAGAGTGGCGGGCTACCAGGCGGCGCAACAGGCGCGCGGAGGAGTGCCGCAGAGACGCGCGGGCTTTTGAGAAACTCGCGCTGCGTGTGACTGCGCCCGCGCCCTGCCGCGCGCGTCTTACGCGGTTTATACTCCTCTTTCATATTATTTTTTTATCAATTTATTATTATACTGAATAATTGCAAATGTTTATAATGCCATTATGAGATCAAAATTTAACAAAATTTAAAATGACATTGTATAAAAATCTAATTAATAATTTTTCGTTTCGAATATCAATTATGATTTCAACCCAGCTTGAAACTTTTTTAAATGCTGGTGGCTGTATGGATATTGACTTTTGCCTCTTTTGATCTCTCGTTCAATTGACAGTTCATGAATTGATGGCGCGAAATGTTTAAAATAAGCTAACCTAAAATAATGTCTCGTGCATTTAAATAATGACGATAACCTCCATGTGTGGTGTAGTGATGTAAACGTTGTGAATGTTTAAAAAATATTTTCGATAAAACTTTTGAACAAAAAGGTTTGAACTAAAATAAAACAAAAACTCAATATTACATAAATATTTATTTAACAATTAAAGATACCATTGTACGACGCGGTGTCGTGATGAAAAATAATTAAAAAATAGCAATATAGCTGTTGCGCAGAGTTTTGGATACAATGGAGATTCTTACTCGTATACATTGGCTATCAGATTCCGTTAAAACGTGTTACCATCTTCAAAAAAATCTGTTTTCATATTTTAAAAAAATGTTTTAAAACTGAAACACTCAAGCAGCACCGACATACAAAATAAAATCAATGTATATAAAAATATTATATTAAATTTATCACCTAATCTCTCACAAAATGCTTAACACAAACATACACTACCACTGGAATGAATCATTATTACCATGATATAATGAAAATGAATATTAAGACTCAGTTAAACAGATAAAATAATTGTGAACATTATCAATAATAAAAAAAAATAAAATCATGCATATTAAATAATAAAATTAACATTTGCAAATTACATAAAGCGAATCGTTGTTGAGACATGCACGTAAATAGTTCAAATATAAAATAAACATGAATATAATAAATGCAATTTATAATTTCGCCTCAGAAATATTAATATTACAAAAGATTCAATTATTTTGTAATATTAACATTTTAATAAATAAATATTAAAAAAAAACTGTTTATTTTTTAATTTTAAATGCTCTATTTCACCTATCAGTACTATATGGAATAAAATTGCACTGGAAAATAGAATCGATATAAAATTAATTATTTCCCATCTATTATTATGTCATGATCGTAAATGAAGATACGTCAAATTCTGTGAGGACGGTTTTCATACACAATTCTCTATAACGCATCATAATTTTGTAACATAATATTTTTTTTTTCGATATTTTATAATTAAACTTATAGCATGCTAATAAATACTAAGCTACAAAGTCCGCCATTTTGCGTTTCATAGAAATGTGCCATAGATTAAAAAATGTATTTTGAGTTACGCATCATAGATTATAAAACGCGCTACAAAACACAACAGAGCGGACAGTAATTGTGAAAATGATTGTTCTCTATATTGAGAGATGCTTTAGAACGTAAGAAATGTTCCAAAGCCTCTGAGAGACATCATTTAAAGCGGGTGATTACTTAAAAGATAAATCCTAGGTTAGGTGGTCTTAGTGTACTACTGGTGCGGTGCGTTACTGCCCGTGTTGATACCTAGCGCATTGAACAGTTTCGATTTAAGGTTCATACGCGGCTCGCTCGCTTGATTCGTGCCCTATAAATTAAACAAAACAAACAAAAAAACAAAATCAAAATTGTGCAAAGAAAATTACATATTGCGTGTTCATACAAGAAATTACATAAAAGTACATACAACAAACCGAAATTGATTGAAATAAATTTTTAATCTATACTAATATTATAAAGAGGATTTTTTTTATTTGTAACTAATAAACTCAAAAACTACTGGAGTAACATAGACTATTTTTGTTTAATTCCCAACGAAGAAAGTCGCGGGAAAAAGCTATGGTTAGGTTTATAGGTAAATACAGTACGTAAATAAATAGACATGTAGATAAAAATAACATATAAAAAGACAAATTACACATAAAATAAATGTCCCAAAAACCATGATAAAGCTTGTGTTCCAGATTAGTGCTGTGTTAAAATATTAGCAAAGTAGAAATGTGTACGTTTAATAAAATGTCTAGTATATTTCTTCAAATATTTAACACAAAAATATACATCTTAATATTGTATCGAGTCAATAAATTAATATTATTAAAGAAATTTTAATTATTTAAACTTTTTTCGTAAGCATTTTAACACTTTCAATGCTACTAAAGTCACTTCGCAAAACATCATTAGCATTTGACGTGTTAAGCTTACCATATTTATTATTATTAAATGATTCAGTTTGAAGTAAAGGAATAAAATCTTTGTGTAAGCAAAGCCTAGCCATGTTACTTTTGTGAATCCGCGTGTTTAAGTGCAGTGAGATGATAAAGCGTTTTTGCAAAATGAACGGCCCAATATTATTTTGCTTTAAAAATCATTTTAAAGTCGTATTATTAAAAAAAAACAAAAATGTGCTTAATTATTTACCCAACTTAAAACAATCTGTAATTATTGCGCGGAATTTCGCTGTCCTAGATATGTGATAAAAGTATAAAATCAAATTTTTTTCAAAATTATAAAAAAAAATTGCCAAAAACTGAATAATTCCTTGCTTCGTTCACATATCTAATACAATGTTACCGCATTTTAACTATCCATAAGCGATTACGTAGCACGCTAGTCCAGACAGACAGACAGACACAAACAGAGACCTAATGCACGATCCTAACCTCGTCGTGTTCTGTCGGGGGCTCGGCTAAGTCGCGGCCTGCGGTGCGACGCGCGCGACTCTGTTTCACACCTTCCAATGCCTAATTTAAAATTATATTCAATAATTGCCTAATAATCAATTTTCTTGACAATTTCATTGAACAAATAATATAAACAATTTTAGTTCAATCAAAAATATTATATGAAGATTAATTTTGTAAGTACATTATATAATTTTGAAATATATAACTTGATTTTAATTTAATTGTAGTAACCTTCATTTTCTAAATACGCAAGTTGACCTCTTTATTGGTTAATTTTGGTTAAAATTATTATTATATTAAAATTATCGTAAAATAACTAATAAAACCAGTTACAGTGCTTCCGACATTTATTAAAGCTAATTAAATTGTTAATAATAAAACTTATTATTTCACATTTTGAATGGACTATAAAAAAAACATTTGGAATTTCTTCCACGGCCCGGATTTTTTTGTCTATTTAATCTATGGTATACAAAAAGAAATGCTTTCTCTATGGTTAAAGCCAAAGATAACCTAATGTCTCATACAAATCCATATCTACGAAAAACATTGTAGTATGTTATTTTTTTATTTTACTTCAACATAAAAAACCTATAAAATATTCGGAATACAGGTTAAAAATTAAACTTTAATATATTTTTTTATCATATTGTAAACTAAAGCAACATAAAATCTAAAAGCTAGATATTTGGTATGTTTATTTGCTTAAAAAAAACTTTCGTAAGACATTATAATAAACTTATATAAACTAACTCAGTGAGCTGAGGGGGAAATAATACTAGTCCCACTCACCCTGATGAAGAGCCCCCGATGGGCTCGAAACTAGTTAGAGCCGCCACCGGACGTATATACGTGTGTTTAGCCGTTTTTATATAAGTTTATTAAAAAATCTCGTACTAAAATGAACTAAGCTATTTAAAACATTGAATATATTAGAAGATAAACTACTGTGTTACAATTTAAACATCTGTAATTTTCCTCGGCGCGGTCGCGTTATTGTTCGCGGCTAGTTTTTGCAAGACAAAATGTTTGCTCCAATTGACATTTTTGTCTTGTTGCCGACTTACTTGTACGTGCTAGGGCAGCGTGCAAACGGAGACAGTTATCAATAACCGTACAATTCCACTGTGTTATTACAATTAATACATCATCTCATACATTGTAGTAATACAAATGGCATGGAATATTACGGTAAGGTCTAGTACACACTCGACGCTTTGAAACGCGCGTTAACAACTCGGATATATTCTTACATATTTGTATTATATATCGGATGAAAATAGCAAAGGCAATCTGCCCCAGAAATAATCACAAACGAAAAGTGAGTTACATAACTGTAAGTTTTTTTTTTCATAAACAAATCTCGCTAAGGGAATACTATTAACACATTAGGTATTAAAATTTTTGTTTGTCAGTTTTTTTTAATTTCCCAAAACCGACACCTAGAAAGAACAAATCCTGCAAATTAATCTATATCTAAATTATTATCCTGGATCCCTGGCAGTGCATTGACTGGAATGGAGATGTCAGAATCGTTATAGCGCGCGTTTCAAACCGCCTAATGTGTACTAGGGTTTAGTGCGAGTTGGAAAACAAACTCATATACGTGGTTATTTGTTTAAAAAAAGATATTAGTAATTATTAATAAATAGTTTTAGTGAACTTAAATTATAATAACATAATATATGAGTATTTTTTTTAATTAGTGTTGAATAAACCATAGGCATTAGTAGAAAAATCTATGGTTTAACAAGCAATAAATCAAACAGATTTAAATGGAAAATATTTTCATGTGTTTTAAATTAAAATGATATGCAATCTACTGTGATTTTTTTTTATTAAATACATAAAATGCATATAATTTCTCCCCCCTGTCAAATTATTTAGGCATCAGGCTGCAAAAAGAAAAGAAAAAATGTCATCGTGTGATGTCACAAAATAAATAAAGGAATCCATTTCAAAGCGGTTTGATTTAATGCGGCAATTAGTTACATGAAAGTGATATATATTTCGGGAGAAAGTAACACAACTGTAATATATTTTTTTTCACAATAAAGTGAAATTTCCTTTTAGGGATCGTCCATTAATCACGTGACGCACGAATGGGGGAGGGTTTCCGAGAAAAAATCACGGGGGGGGGGGGGGGGATATCACGTATTGTTTTTAAGTACGTAAGTTATTCATGACTGTTAATTATTGTATATTATTCTATATAAAATATATTTCATATCTTTATTAGTGAATGTTAATTAAAAAAATAATATATTAAAAACTTCACTGTTGCTTTGTAAAGTACCCGTGAATTATATTAAGGGGATGGAATTAGTCTAAAACCTCATCATACACCAAAGGTTAGGTTAGTGATAAAAAAAAATTTGCTTAAAAAAATCACGTGATTAACAGACTGCCCCTTAGCCATAATTCGTAAATATTCCAAGATATTTTTTTCTCTAATAGTAACACTTCATAGTATTATTTATTTGTGTGTGTGCTCACCTCTTTCCTGCTGCGCAGTGCGCAGTCCTCCAGGGTCTCAGCGGCCTCGTACTTGCCCTGGCGGCGGTACAGCGCGCCCAGGTTCTTCAGCGTAGTCGTCACTGTCGGCGAGTCCACCTGCCGTCAATACCAACACTTGAAGCTCTACTTACACTGGCCTTCTATTGACTTTAATTCAATTTCTCGGATAAGATATGAAATTTGTTGAATTACAAGCTACTCTTTTAATAAAACAGTCCCAATATAGGGGTGTCTATAATCCGACACAGCCCTGGATAGATTTCTGTTATACGAAAACAAATTTTAAATTAAAAAAAAACATTTATTGAATTACCGCGTGTCTAATGTATACGTAACTAGCTGACACCCGCGACTCCGTCCGCGCGGTACTAGAAAAAAACTCAATACTAATTAAGTTTTTTTTAAAGCTACTAAGCTTTCGTGTTCTTCCAGACTATATTCTACATCTGTACCAAATTTAAAATCCATGCAGCCGTTCTGGAGATACCTTCTAACAAACATCCATCCATACATCTAAACTTCCGCATCTAATATTAGTAAGATTTACCTTAGCCGCCTTGTGCCAGCCGCCGTACTCTCCGTACGGAGCATTCTCCTTCTGTAAGTGCTTGTTCTCCTCCCTCTCCTCCGCCACCTGCCAGATCGGCTTGTTGTCACCTGCAACACATCCTTATATACTAACTATATACATATATTTATATAGTAAATATAATATAACAAACTATGTCTAAGATAGTTATAAAATATAGAATATAGGTTTGTCTTAGATGTTTTTGTATATCCATCAAATCTTAATATTATAATAAGTAAATATAGCTATAAATTAACCAATAACTTATAAAAAAAAACGAGAAATTATTACAAAAAAAAAATAATTTATAAAAAAAATTGAAAAAAAAAACAATTTCTCGCTTACATACTTAAAAACAATGTGACACAAGTCGGGAAGGTGTGACACAATCGGCAGATAAAAAATTAAAAAAAATTACAAAAAAATAAAAAAAATGTTTGCCTTTCCTACCTGTGCCACACTTAAATAATCCAAACTTGTGTCACTCACCTAGTAATTGTCACACTCTCCAAACTAACAAGAAAGAAAACAAACAAACAGGATAACAAATAAATAAAAATATTTTACAAGACATCGGCATTTAATTTTTAAAAATACATATTAAAAATTATAATTCATCTAAAATTTACAATTCAATATAATTTATAAATTAATTTAAACAAAATAAAATGGCTTAAAACTTTTAAAACATAGTTAAAAATTGTAAATATTTTTTTTTTCACTTTGGCAACATTGAAATCGTAATTTTGGTATATTTTAAAACAACCATACAAACTCCCTTTCATAGTAAAAGTGAGTTGAGATTGTCAAACTATTTTACACAATGCTTCTATGAAAATGATTCATAGACAACATGTATCTTATTATTTTTAATTGATTTTTTTAATTATTTATTATTAACATATACAGCGTGTCCCAAAATTCAACGATAAAACTGTAATAGTGTATAGCCAGATCGATAACTACACGAGGAAAAATACTAAACAAAATCCAACTCTTTTTGTTTAAAAGTTACATTAACTTTTCTTAGAATTTGACACCCTTCACCATATGATTAGACACTGTGGCTAGAAGTATGAAGATATTCCTGCAATATTTTTTTATACAGCTACCTAAGTAAGATTTTTTTAGTATTTTCCCCGTGTAGGTATCCATCTAGCTATGTCCCAATTTCATTTTATCGTTGAATTTTGGAACAAGCTGTATAAAGCAGCAAATAAATTTCGCATAAGAAAATCTAAATAATTCAAATGATTTCAATTAAACGTGACATTTCTTTTCATACAAATCGCCATCCCTTTTCTTTTCTTTGAGAAAACAGAGACAAACAATACGTGCCAATGTAACAATTTCAAGGTTACAGATATTTAAAACATATGTTTATAAGATTCTAGTCTTGTATACGGTAGCCTATTCGATTTTTTTGTTTTAAAATAACAAAAAAAAATCTGGATTTATACAACAATGCAACATGCTATACATACCAAGCAAGCCTAGAAACTATCTCTTATTCCAACACAAAGTAAAAATATCCCGTAAATTCCGAAATATTATTAAAACATTTTCTCACATAACTTAAAATATTAAAAAGGGTAATAGCTGCTATGTATGGAATTGAATGTATGGAGGAATACATTTTACTATTTACAAGATTTTAGCGTTAATTTGGAATGGAATAAAGTATATAAGCAAACAAGGATATCTTGTCCGGTGAGAGGCGCTACTATCGCGTTTAGTTTTGTCAGAATATTTTTAAAAACTACATAAGACATAGAATAGCCATAGATATTGTAAAAAAAACTAGGTATGACAGCTAAATAATGAAAAAGATGTTGACACATTTTGATATCAACAGGAGGGCGTTAGTAAGCTATTATAATTTCTTCTTCTTGAGGTGCCTCTCCGACTAGCGAAGGTTGGCGATCAGTTCTCTATATATTCCTTTGTCTAATATAATTTAGTTGTGAATTGTACTCACAGGGTCTGATTTCCTTGTTATTCCACACATAAATTGTATTATTTTATGTCCTGTTTCTGAATCACCAATTGAATTAAATAACGATGAAACTTTAATTAACACGTTAGCTGCCGTGATGTGTCCGACAAGCCATACTTCCATTCAACACCTCGCTGTGGCGTTATAATCGAATTGTTGTATACAGAGTGACCCGCAAAGCCCCATTCAAATGGTTTTGAACAAAATTATTATTTTTTCGTTTTTTGAAAAATCATTCTGGCAGCTAATGTGTTAAATATTGAAATCTATTTGAGTATAGAAAGTCGATTTTTAAATCGATTCATAATCGATATGGTGGTCAAATTGAAAGACATCTATCGATTTAATAAGACATGAAATTCATCAACAGAAATTTCCTTAACTCCTAATATTATCAAATATGAACTTATTTAATTGCGTCATGCGACATTACCAACTCTAAAAACATATATTTAAAATTCAAAATATTATTAACAACCATTTTTAGGCAAAAGGCTTAAATTTTTCATCACAATAAAGAATTCATAGTAAAAGCTTCTTTTGGTATTAAAATACTTTTAAATTCATTTTTGGTATAAATATAGGAATTGTGCTTGTAGATGAATACGGTATATTGAATTTTATTACATTAACCGTGGGTTTCTGAGCTCAGAATCTCCTTAAGAAACATATTGTTGCCTCTATTTTGAGAAACAATGACAGGGATATATCTATACTAATATTATAAAGCGGAAGAGTTTGTTTGTTTGTTTGTTTAAACGCGCTAATCACAGGAACAACTGGCCCGATTTGAAAAATTCTATTTTTGTTGGATAGTCTATTTATAGAGGAAGGCTTTCGACTATAAATTACGTTGCGACCAATAGTTTTTTTTTTTTAATTAGATAATGGTCTCAGAAACCCACGGTAAATAACTCTTGCACTGATGAAACTGGAAACATTTAAAACTTATAACTTAGGCAAGAAACTTAAGTTCTTAACATTTAATTTACAAAACCAAAGTTAAATTTATCCCCTAATAAAACTGCGTTCAGTCTTCTTACATACAAACTCATACATAAACGCTTAAATAACTTAAAAATTGCCTTCTTGTAACATGAAATATATAACTTAAATATGTATTAAAATTCAATCTATATTTATCCAAGAGTACATTGCACATATGAAAGCCTCAAACTTATATAATTTTAAAATAACTATAGTTTATTGCACATAAAACACTAAAAGCTAAAACTGGAATATTTGCCAACCAACCAAATAAAGATGAATTTTCTTAAAACATAAGTCATAACGACAAAAATTACTAATAAAACTAAGCTAAAAAGCAAAAAAATGCACCTAAAACTCATTTGAAATTTTAACTTAACACTAAACAACTGCCAAAAATTATAACAGCTTTATATTATTATAGTATATAACCTCAATAAGCAGATATAAAAAAAAAACAAAAAAATCTAAAAGTGCTTGTTAAAGGAGTTTTTACACTTTAGCAGCCATTAAATCTAAGAAAAAAGAAGAAATTTAAAACTTTTGAATTTAGTAACGTCAAATCGGTTTTCTATGTCTTTCTGTTATTCATGTTCTTACAATATTAATACATTTTTCTGCAAACAAGGGTTTTTTATTTAAAGCCCTGTACAGTGCTAATAAAAAAACATTTCTTAGGCAAGATATCAAATAAAACTTAATAAAATAAAATATCGAGTATTTATCAAATGCAAAAAAGAGATCTACATTAAAATATTCTATTCCAAACATACATTTATATTTTTTACATACATTAAAAAATAAAAAAATATTTTTTTTTTATTAAAAAACAAAATCCTAGAAGCAAAATATTCATTGTAAAATTAATTTAAATAACAATATTTAATTATATTTAATATATCAACTTTTAAAATATTATTTATAATGCTAGTAAGATTTTGTGCTTTGGTCCTTTTTACAGTAAATAAAACATGCACTAAATCGAGAGAAATTAATTAACCTTGATTTCTATAAAAAAATAAACAAAAAATTAAAATTCTTTCAAATCACAAACATTTTCAACAATTATAAACAATAATTAACAAAATTAATTAAATTAAAAACACGAAAAAAGATTTTTTAATTTTTTGGGCAAACATTTTTGTGTTTTAGCCAGGTGTATATTTAAAAAAAAAACGGTCTGAAATTAACATAATAAAAAACACTTATATTATTTTAAAACTTAATATTATATTATTTCTCTCAATAAAGCATATAAACCTATATACTTAGTATTATGTGTTTATAGGAATGTATGATGTTTATATACATCTCACACCATCTTGTTAGTGGGTATATAAATGACCGCAATTTGTTATTTTTTAGGTTTTTTTAATGATGCTATATACTCTGAAATGATAAACAGAAAAAATAAAAAATATACAAAAAAAAATATATATAAAAAATTATTACTAAACAATCTGATAAGAAGATTTTTTATAGTCAATTTACAATAATGGACTCCCTCAGTGAGCACTTAACAACTCTGAGACGTGTCTGATGTTATCGACAATATAAATATTAGGTTATTTTCCAAACTTACCATCAATAGTGCCGAATTCTCTCTCGTGTGCGCGCGTCAGCACCTGCTTGTACAAAGTCTCTGCTTCCTTGTATTTACCCTGTACATACAACATTTATTTATTTTTTCACTTTCATTATGAAAAAAGTACGATTTAGTAGTCTACTAGCTATTATATACTTTGTTAATCTTAATAAATACAAAATTTTGGATGGATGTATGGATGAGGTGGAGAAATATGGAAAAGGCACAGGCCATTTAATGGGGGTCATGACTATTTTTAATCATGTTTGTTTGGATGTATGGATGGACATTTGTTACAAAGTATCTCCGGAACGGCTCAATGGATCTTAATGAGATTTAGCATAGATGTAGAACATAGTCTTGAGGGCATAGACATAATTAAGTTTTTTTTTTATAAATTTCTCTCGGAATAAATAAAGGCTAATCAATAAATAAAGAAAGTAAATACTAATTGATACCAAATAACTGCAGTACTGGTATTCGAATCTGGATGAAATTTGTAAGAAAGAAAGAGAAGTAAGGAGTTAGCGAGTAGAGTAGAGTAGCGAGTTAGAGAGTTAGCGAGAAGAAAAGTATGTGACCTGCTTGAGGTAGCAGGAGGCGAGGTTGTTCTTGGTCTTGGCGACGTTGGGGTCGTCGGGGCCGAGCTTGCTCTCGTAGATCTCCAGCGCGCGCTGGTAGTACTGCTCCACCTCCTCGTACTTGTTCTGCAAATATTTATAATAAAATGAAATTAAAATACAATAAACTATTCGTCAAAACGACTCAAACGAGCACAAATTGTATAAGGTTGGGTCATTGCGAAGTTCCTATGACCTTCCAGCTCCCTCATCAGAACTGCACCACGTCATATTAATGCGATTTACATATTCATGCTAAATTTCAGCTCAATTAGTAACCGGACATGGATCAAATTTTATTTGTAATATTGTAAACATCAGGACAGATTTAAATAAAATATAAACTTGTAAAATAGAAGAATGTACATCAATGATATAGATATTTTCAAATATCTTGCAGGCTCAAGATCAAGTGCGCGGACCGAAATTGCTCAGCCTACATATTCTTGTGAATAACGATGATCAGTAGGGTTAGGCAAAGTCCATTCGCTCCGTAGCGATTCCATAACGAATTTCAAAAATGTATGAAACTGAGGCGCGACAATCACGTGACTTATCGAAAGTGGAATCGCTTTATAGCGAATGCACTTAATGTGACCCCCAGAGCCGGGTAGATATTTGCCAGCTTGTTTGTATACCTGGTTCTGGCAGAGCAGCGCGAGGTTGTTGAGCTGCTTGGCGACGTCAGGATGGTCTCTGCCCAGCACCGCCTCTCTGATGCACAGCGCGCGCTTGCACAGCGGCTCCGCCTCGCGGTACTTGCCTGCAACACAAACATACATACATACATACATACATACATCGCTATTGAAACTATCGATCTGCAATTGTCTAAATCATAAAATCGGACTTATATTATAAATTCGAATGTTTAGATGGACGGATGAATGATAGTCTGAAGGTATCTCTAGAACGACTCAACGAATTTTGATGAAATTTGGCATAGATGTAGAACAGTCTAGAAGAACACATAGGCTAGTTATTAAATTTCGCGTGGACGTAGTCGCGGACAGCTAGTACAGTTTAAAGTGATGAGTGGGATGTTGCGTGTGGGGTGTATCTCACCCCTCTTGCCATAGAGCACGGCGAGGTTGTTGAGTGTGGCGGCGACGGCGGGGTGGTTCTCCCCCAGCGTCTTCTCGCGGATGGAGAGCGCGTCGTTCAGCAGATTGGCCGCCTCCTTGTATTTGTTCTGGTCTCTGTAATAATCACGTAACATTTCAATTCTACTGCTTTCTTATATTAAATTATTATCTCTGTTTTTTCATAGACAATGAGAGATGACAAAATGTTTTTATTTAAGTCTTTTGTTAATGGAAACTCAAAGTAAACTGTCAAATACTCCAAGATAGCACTTAGTATTATATCTTTTAATACTTAGAAGGGAGCTTTAGTTACTTATTTAATTACCTGTATACGAGGGCAAGTATATTGAGCATGGTGGCGACATCAGGATGATCATGTCCCGAGGTCTTCTCCAGATCCTCGAGGGCCTGCTTGCAGAGCGGCACGGCCACCTCGTAGCGGCCCTGAGACGCGTACTGGATCACCAGGTTGTGCAGCGTGCGCAGCCGCGCCGGGATCTCGTACCCTGCGTTCACCTGCTGCGCGAACTGAGACGGCGGGGTAGGGGACATCGCTGAGGAGAGGAACATTAAGTTAAACGATGTAAGATAAATACATTTATAAACAAAAACTTAACCTACTTATTCTCTTTAGACAAAGATAACAATTTATACCATAAACCCGATACGTCAGTGGAAGCCAACAGTCAAAAGTTTATTTGCTACAAACAATCTTACATTTGTTGTTCCTGTTATCATCATGGTCGTCATCGGGGAAGAGGTCGACCATTGGGTCGTCGCGTTTGCCGTCCGCGGGTCCGCTGCGGCTGCCCTCAGACTCCTCTGTCACGTCGCTGTCGTATTTACTATAAGAACAAATAAATATCTTATTATGAGCCTTTTTATTCTATTTGGCGGGACAAGGACACGTGCACGTTTCGCAGTGCCCACTCTCTTCCTCCCTTTACGCCCAGACATACCTAAATTTTAAAACTATTGGAAAAAATATTCCGAGCGGTCAAAACACTTGAAAAGCTGTATAAATATAGACTTACCGTATAGAGGCCATAAAGTCGAGATGTTTGTTCTCCTCCTCGAGCTGCGCGACTCGCTGCTCGGAGGCCTGCAGGCGCTGCTGTGCGGCCGCCAGCTCGTCCCGCAGCCAGGCGTTCTCCTGGCACAGCCGCCGCACCTGCGTCCGCAGCTTCTGCTTCTCCGCTTCCACTGACTGCAGGTGTGACGCCAGAGCCATCATCACCTACAAATGTACACCAGGATTAGGGTATATAAGTATAGAATTTTATATAACGGTTTTGTAAAAATCTTTTACATTTCGATGCATAAATTATGGGAGATATTCTTGTGGTCAATATTCTTTGAATTCCGAAGAATAATAATTGAATCAACCTTCCTTGCATTTCATTCTATACAAAAATTGTAACTCACTGGTCACAAACACACACTCTCATATAAAAGATCCACTCACTTCATCTTTCTGATAAAACACATAGACATAACAATTTATGATCAAATTCCCCTCATATACAACACAAAGCAATATCAACAAATAAAAAACTAAGCTTAAAACGAATTGGAAAATATTCTCCTGCAAACCAAACAATAGTCACGTACAGACAACTCCGAACTTCCCCAACAAAAAGGGAGAAATATGACTCAAATTCCCCATCCCCCTACAAGGCTTTGGTGCGTCATCCTTCATCTCCCGGGGCGCTTTGTACTTCGCATCAATGGAGCGCAAACCAGCCTTGATTAAGGGCTGCAATTCCATTTCCAACCCCATGTTAGATAAGCAACTAGTGTTGTACCGCATTATATCGAAATTCTACTACGAATTCGAATCAAAGATTTTTTTACTTATTTTTAATTTTCATTCTTTCATTTACAATATTTATATAAAACATGGGTATACGACGAATGACACTCATTCTCTAAATCCATCAAACGGTTATAATACTCAGGTCTACGTCTACATACATACAGAATATCATTGTCTGTCCTTCAGGTACAAAATATAAACATTTAGCGTGTCCGCTTTCAAACACTACGTTTAACTGGGAGCTTGTTAACAGCATAAAGGTAGGAGATAATCCCGTGTATTTGCTAAGCGGTGTTGGCGCATAGACAACGTTATGACATCTGTACTTTGTCTATGCTCTCGGTGTGCAAACTGCATGGAGGTTTTAATTAGACGACTTTAATGAGTCGTATCTGAAACTGCCGTATAATCCACTTTTGCCACAATATTTAAATATATACTCTCATTTTATTATTAAAAATAGTAGGAATGTTTAGCCATTTTTTTTAATTATAGGCATAAGACTGGTCACAACGAGCCAGTGACATCAAGTGGGATGAAACCTCGGAAAACAGTTTAAAGAGGACTAATCTAGTTTAGATAGATAGATGGATGGATGGATGGATGGATGGATGGATGTTTGTTTGAAGGTATTTCCGGAACAGCTTCATGAACCTCGCTAAAATTTGGCATAGATACATAGTCTGGAAGAACACATAGGCTTTATAATCCACGCGGACGGAATCGCGGGCGAAAGCTAGTCATGTTATAAGTGAGTTTTTTTTTGTCATGAATAGTTTTAAAACTAATAATAAATTCTAGTTAAACGGCGTGTTTCAACTACTATCTGAAAAGCAATCAGCAAACACTCTGTAAAGAAATGCCTACAAGTACGATCTTTTCAACGCCTGACACAGTTCTTGAGAAGAAACTCGGCCGGTACAAGTGTCTCTAGAGTCCTTTAAGGCATTAAAACGATCTAGGCCGCTCCTCAAGGCAGACTACTTCAGAATTATATTAGTACTAGCTATTTCGAGACTTCGTTCGTGTGGCATAAAAAAAAACTGAGTATTTTAATCATTATTCCAGACTGTATTTAGTTCAACCGTTCTGGAGTTAATTAACATCGATACAACCAAACTTGCACATTGAACACCAGTTCAGAACTTTGTCCATCTCATTTTTTTTGGATTGAATTACTAATAAATTTGATAACATCATCTATCCCTATGACATAATTATGATTCATTGTATTACATCATATGTGTTTATATGTTAAACAAATAAATAGCAACTGTTAAAGAGACGAAGAAAACAGACAACATGTTTTTATACAAATGACACTTGAAACGAAAATAGTTACTTAGACTATATAAATAAAGCCTGGGCAGGTTTCTGATATAAATGCTGAGTCATACTGGACATTGAACTAAACAGTGAGTCATAAGGCATTCCTGTAGTGACGATAAATTGCAGGCTAATGCAAGTACTACAAGCCGCCAACGCAAGCTGCACAGCGATGCTTTGAACACGAGTCTACGGTCACGATCTGATGGTACATTGCGCGCTTGAAGGTTGAATATAAATTTTATGGTCTCAGATTTATATAACATGGATGTAATGTATTGGGTACATTGCTGATTTATAGCATAGTACGTTACTTCGTCACAGTTTGCAAGGATTGCAAAAGCTTCAGTCAAGACCTCAGTTATAATCTAATAGTGGCCTTTAAACTACATAGAATGTCGCATGTTCTAGCCAAATTATAAACGGCCAGGATTCGCATCTTACCGGTGACATAGATAACATTGCTACACATTAAGGTAAAGATGTGTCGTGGATCAGTAGAGATGTCAAATACCTCGGCGACTCGGAATATCCTACGAGTCACACTCATAGGCTTATGGAGCAGATGACCTAGAGCCGCCAAGATATTTGAAAATACGTATACCAACCTGTGCCTCTCCCAGGCCCAGCTCGATGGCATCAATGCTCTTCCTCACTAGGGCTGCTTTCTCGTGTTCATGTTGAGTGTTAGCGGCGAGACCGGCAAGCAGTTGCGCGTGCTCAGCCCGCAGCGCCTCCAGGCCCGCGGCAACCGTACGCGCGCCGGCCACCATCTCCTCCTGCGTCATCGCCGTCATCCTGCCCAGGGATTCGATCTTCTTTCTGTGAACAAATGAAAAATACAACATTAGATATTATACTTAAAGTATGGATAACGTGAGTTTCCACTGTTGTAACATTTTACAAAAAGATATGTTCCTATTGAATTTCAACGAGCCCCAGAATGTTATAGTTATGGGCGTCCATTGACGAAATACGATATTACAGTTGAATGAAAACACGATATTTACGACATGTAAACGTGTGAAAAAACATCAAATACATACAGCTATTTCAAGTAAATTTTATTATTTAACGCGACACTGAATTGAATTTTATTTTGTATCCGTATTTTACAAATAAACAGTTTTTCGTGCACAAACAATTCGTGTCAAAGCAATAAGTTGCAAGGTTGAACTGCAAACTATTTATTGTTTCTATTATATGAACAATTTATATACCAACACTTTTCTATCTTAAAACCATAGACAACAAATTATTTCTTGCTATAAAATACTTTTTATAGTAGCTATAATTCTTATGTACTTTTTAAAGGCTTTAACTACTTAAGTACCATCTTTAAAGTGTAACTACATAAGTAGGTACTTATATCGTAAGTTTTACTTAGTAAACAAGTTCGCGGAATGAAGTGATAGCGAAGTCGCGTACTTAAGTTGAATTTAACTAAATTATTAATTAAGTTACTTTAATTTATGTCGTGTTTCTAATTAATTTACATTGAATAAAATTCAAAAGCTATTAAAATGTAATCCTCATTTGTAATATATAATGAAATATTGTACCGAAATAATTAGTTTTTTTTAACTTTTTTTTATGAAACCTTAAACAATAAAGTTATGTTTAAGATACGGGTTCATTGACCCGCGCCGAACACACCGCACGCACGGCCCGCAACGGATTGCTTGGTTTGTATGATTTTACATAGTACTGCGTTTATCATCCGAGCCGCCCGCGTCAAAAAACAAATCAAACCCCTTTATTCGTTGTTATACAATCGAACAATGAATAATTAAATGAAACAAAAGACTGTTGCAATTATAAAAAGATACGTATTTGATGAAACAATAATCTTAGCGTAGGCTTTCACTGCCATTTGTTATCTTTTTTTAAAACGAATGAAAGTAATTACAATATTTTTAGTCGAGTATTTTGACAATGGAAATCAACGGTTATACACCAGTTTTTGTTTAATTTAGTCACTCAAAGATTCCATCTAAATCTATCAAATCAAAACCGAGTAGAAAGTATCGTAATAATTTATATCACTCCCGATGACAGCTGTATAATTATCTTGACAGGCGTTAATAAAGATGTGTCAAGATTATGACAGCTGTCAAAAGGGTAAGGTTATTTGGGAAATTCATGGTATCCATTGAAAAATCAACATAACTCGTGTGTAATGAATTTCTAAATTACAAGATAAGATTTTATAAAAGCGGTGAAAGTATAATATGATTATAAGATTGTTTGTAATTAAAACAACATTTTAAATACGTATCTGATTATAATAGTAAATCATGGTAAATATTAAATAGAAGAAATGAACAAATAAGCATTGGCTTGCGTAAAAGAATTGCTGCATCCTATAAAATTCTGCAACACAGAAATTGCACATACTATCCCAGACTTAACACATACAGTGCCAATTCAGTGTTCACTTTCGTACATAAAAATTTTAATAGCACGAAAGTGTTAGTGACGCTCTTAATTTGATCCTTTCGAATTTATTTAGTAATATTACTCACTCGCAATGATTCAGTCTTAGGAATATTATAAATGCGATTATTTAGATGGATGGATGTTGGTTTGAAGGTATCTATAGAACGATTGAACGGATCTCGATTAAATTTGGCACACATGAAAACCGTAGTCTAGAGATCCACATAGGCTACTTATTATTTTATTTTTTTTTAATTCAGCGCGTACTGAGTCGCGGTCGACAGCTAGTATCAAACAATTTTAAGTCTGAATATTTTCAGCTTCATGCTTCAAACACCACTATAAGTACCAAAAAAGGTATAATATTTCGTGTTCCAAAAAAACCGGCTTCTAATATTTGACCCTAATCTCTTACGTGTGTCAGGCGACATGTATCAAGTTGCCGAACCTCATAACCAGATTTCAAGGGTTTACTCTACTTCCACAAATAAATTACAAATAAGCAGCTCGTGTTAAGGAATATTTTCTGAGCTGTATATTTAAGTATTGTAATCTTACTAATATTATCAATATCAACGTTTAGATGGATATATGTTTGTTACATAGCTTCACGATGAAATTTGATATAGATGTAGAACATAGTCTGGATGTGCACATAGGCTACTAATTAGCTTTTTTAATTCCGCGCGGACGGAGTCGCAGGCGAGAGTTCGTTCTTTTATATTATTTGAAAGTAAAATGACACCACTAATGTTTCTTGACTTCACTGTTTTCTGCTGAGAAATAGATTTAAAGGTCGGATTTAGATTTAAAATTGCAATGACTTTTTAGATGTAACATACAAAAAAATAATCTTAAAACTGATGTTAATAAAACAAAGATTTGGATAAATATAATGGGATAACATAAATCGCCCATGTTATCACTTAGCGACGAAAGTATGGCTCAAAAGCCAGGGAGTTAAAACTCGCACTGGGATTGGCTCCCGCGTTTTGTCGCGCCAAAGACAGGGAGCGAACACAATTTGTCAAAGACTGACGAGATTGAATTAATTGTAATACTGTGTCTTTTTTATTGAATATATTTCGTGCATAGTAATATTTTGTTTTATTATTGTTGTTGATATCAACGCAGTCAACATTGTGACATCACGTTCATGTGTATCCGTTTACCGAACTAAGAAAACCCATAAAAGTATTTACAATCATTGTAATGTTACTCATATCTTATATCGTCGTTTAGATATTATAAAATTATAATCTTAAGATACAGAATCTATATAAAAAATAATCCAACACTAAAGATTATAAAGCAAGGTGTAGGCAGAAATACTTTCCTCCTCCGTCATTACAATTAAAAAAAAACCTTCGTACACGTAAGTTGTCTATGCCAAGTCACTACGATCAATTGATATCCTCATAAACAATTTCTTGATAAAAATTTAATTATCACTCACAATCACAAATACTAAACAATGAAGACAATCTCACACTTTAATTACTTGTTCTTGCTTTTAATAATATAAGCCCACTTTCGGACTTCTTGCGTACAATGAACTTTTCACTGGCATATATTATCTATCTAGTTTTTATAAATAAAGTACTTAAAGAATTTATAATAATGAACGTTTTATCTCCTATCTTACTAATATTATTAACGCGAAAGTTTAAATGGGTGTATGTTTGTTCAAAGGTATCTTTAAAACGGCTCAACGGATCTAGGTGAAATTTGGCACAGACGTAGAACATATTCTAGAAGAACACATAGGCTTATTAGGATTTTTTTTTTGTAAATTCGCGACGCGGACAGTCGCGGGCCACAGCTAGCCAATTTGTAAAATGTTTCAAGAACAAATGTCAACTCATCTGCTGTTGCAAATGACAAATGCTCTTACAATTATGATTTTACTTGTGTTAACCTTTTATTACCACGAATGTCACAATTATCAGCTGATTAAACGATAAAATACCAGACAGCAAAATATAACGGTCAATAACGAGGTCAATAAATTCCGGATGCGTTCACACAATGTTTTGGTATGCAAGACGCGGTGCCGGATATATTTATATTAAATTGCTGGCGACGATGTCGGTTATGTTGATACGCGATGGCGCGCCAAAGGAAGCGGTTGCCGATGCAAATTGACTCAATTTCAGATATGGGTCAATGGCACCGACTTCCTTTGTCTAACTCGCACCATAACCGGCGGTCAAACGGTTAACATCGTGAGAAAGTAACCAAGTATGTTATGACTAGCTGACAGCCGCAACTACGTCTGCTCATTAGTGCTTTTTGTGAACAAACTCGTAATTAAACGGTTTTATAATATTATCAACAATCATTTTTAAATAAATCCAAACCATAAAATATTCAGTAAACTTGGTTTATATATTATATGATTAGTAAATTACATAATATATTTAGCACGCATTAGATTACATTGGGACTTTGAACTTATGTATTATATTAGGTATCCATTACACATAACAATAACAGAACTAAACCGTGCTTATGTTTTTTATCCACGAAATATATAATCCGAAAACTTACTAATATTATAAATGCGAATGTTTAGTTGAATAAATGGATGTTTGTTTGTAGGAGTTATTTCTAAAACGGCTGAACGGATCTCACTGAAATTTGGCATATATATAGAACATAGTCTGGACAAACAGAGGCTACTAATTATGTTGTTTTACTTAATTCCGCGCAAACGGAGTCGCGGGCTACAGCTAGTAATTGCATAAACTTAACAATTTTCCAAAACAGACTTTTACAGTAGAAACTCAGAATAATTTATAAATAGTGGCTATATTTCTAGGCATTTTATTAACGCAAGGTTGAAGCATAAAGAAAAATCTGCCTGCTATTCCAACTTTAGTATTCCGTCGGTGTAGTTTTCCTGTGAGACTTATAAAGAGTAAATGTATTTGACTATTTATGGGAGCCTGGTATTTGCATTTCCATTTCCTTATTTCTCAGAATATTCACAAAGCGATTCTTATCATATAATTATCAAAATTAATAGCAATACATCGACGACACTTAATTAGTACTTATATCTAGACTTACAAACAATACGTAATTGAAGACCTTTATGATTATTGAATGGTCACTAATATTCTATGGTAGAGGTCAATAACCTTTTAAATATCGAATACGTCTCCAAACACAGAAGTATAAAATTAGCGTGAGAAAGCAATGTAGAAATTAGATTTGATACGTCTGATTAGCGTTAAAAATTCTCATTTCTATGTTAACAAGTCTTCCTGGTGCAGACTTAATCAAGCTGTATACGAGGTGTGAACGTGAGAGGTCATCTCAGGAGATTGTGACGTCATAAGTACTGCAATGCAGTGCCTGAGGATTCACGAAAGGTGTGA